TGAAGGTTTTGAGAATCCCATGACCAGAAATCCCTGGAGAACCTTGAGATCTCCTGTTGCTCATCATGACAGAACCAGCCAGTGCCGTTTTTAACTTAGTCGAATTCATGACCATGGTGAAGAACAGAGATGCCAGTGAGTAGGAGCCAGCAGGGAATTGGGCCTGGAACAATATAGTCCAGGTGTGTGACCAACATCTGTGTTGAGCCACTGTGGTTCTGTCATTGGCTTCCAAATAACATGTGATTGACAAGGTGCAGCTAGCAGACCCTAAAATATAAAGGCATGTTTTTGTTGGGAGAGGATCTGGTGCGATGCTCAGAATCAAGTTGCTATGCTCAAGTGGGAAAGATATATGGGGTAGCAGCCCAGTTTGTGTTTTTTCCTTTAGACCCTGACTCACCCCACGTGACAGAGCTCCCTCCAGCACTGTGTCCCGGTTGACTTTTATGGATTTGAAAAACAAACACCAAACTTCTAGGGAAGCTGCAAGAAACACCATTAAAACTGGAGGGTGAGCCAAAGGCTTCACAATCCACCCAGGGAGACACTCATACCCCAATGGTCACAGTTGCCTACAAAGAGAGGATTCAGCTCTGCTGCCTCCTGTTCATATTGGAAAATATGAAACCATGTCCTACTGTTTACAGAGACTGAGACCAAGCTTTCATGGTCTCACTGCAAAGGAAGCCTAAGCACAAAGCTATATTGCTAGTGTACAAATGTCAGAGGCAGATAGTCAAGAAGTCATTACGCCAGCAAAGTTCCATGTTCATGGAATGTGTACCCTGTCCCCTCCTTTTGGGATCTCTTCTGCCACACCCCAGTTTGTGAGCTCCTCAGAATTTCCAATTCCAGATATGTGTTCACAGATTATTTTCCTCTTCTCCTCTCATTGTGTCTTATTTGGGGTGATAGTAATGTCAAGGCATTGTGGTGGATTACAGTGGAAGATTTCTATGTGACACGTGTTCACATATATATTAGACTCATTTTCTGTTTTGCCATTTGAAATATTGAATCTCTGACACTAACCCATAACCTACTGGACTCTGACTACTTAACATAACGTCGATAAAAATAATCCTAAAGGAATACAAGTAGAGGCATTTGATAGGAGGCATGGTGAATACTTGGACTTGCCTTTTGCTTCATCAGAGATCCATGTTATAAAACCTGTCACACATTTTTCTCCTTTAATTTTTCCATGAATTTTCAAAATTAACAAATATGTAACTTCCTGACTCCCTGTCTCTGTCGCCTGGGTCACAATGTATATTTTTATATACACATATATAATCCTACTGCCATCACAGGTATATTCTTGAGAGGACTCTGATTTTGCAAAATACAAATTTCATGAAGAGATCACTGCCCCCCAATACACTGAGGTAACTGAATATTCAAGCTGTGGTGAGCTTATACTTCAACAGGTTTATACATGAAACAACATAGAGGAAAATGAATATTTTGGGTACATATATGAAGGATATATATCCCCTTATGAATTTCGATTGGTATAAGTACTATTACATTTTAATATATTAAATATATAGTATGGATTTGCGAACATGAAATCTATGAGTCATATACTTATACGACCTTGATTCTTTCATATCCATCTGTGTGGATTTATAATCAACTGTTCACAAGGCATTTCTCAGTAATATTCATTTTCTTGACATCCATATTCATTTCTGAATACTCAAAATGAACTTCAGTGAATATTGAGTAGTAACCCTCATATTTCTACAGTAAGTGACCCAGTTTAACATCAATGAAAGTATATTCATATGGGACATGATGTGTGTTTTGAAGTAAATTTTCATTCAAAATTGTTAAATTCCTATTTCTTCAGAAATGATACTTCATAGGATGTATCATTTCATCCAATATTCACACATTGATATGCATATGATTCACTTACAT